CTGGTCGGGATCGTAGCGACATTGCTCGTCATTTGTCATAACAAGCACATGACATCTGTCATAACATGCACATGACATATGTTATAACAAACACATGCCATCTGTCATAACAAGCGCATGACATTTGTCATAGCAAGCATATCACATATGTCATAACAAGCACATAACTTCTGTCATAGCTAGCACATGACATGTTATAACAAGCATATGTCATCTGTAAGCAAGCGCATGACATCTGTCATTACAAGCACTTGTCATCTGTCACAAATTCAATCTGTTGACGTGAGCAAACAATCCGACTTGTCGTGTCGTCTGATGCGCTGTTACGACCGGCGAGTATTGTTTCTAAGACGTACACATTACATGTTACACATTAGGCTACTATAGAGTAATCGCCCCTAACTGTGACCTTCAGCCGGCTAACTTATCTCTACTAGAGTGCTCACTGCTCACTCCTAACGGCGGTAAAGGAAAACAAAATAAACCACATTGATGCGATATTATATTGTCCTATCGGCAAAATTCTTGATTTGATTATTAACAAGACATCGCATTCCTTCACTGCTACAAATTGTACACACATCGCCGTAGTAAAATTATTGTTGACACGTTTAATTCACTCCAAACCTAACATCGTATTTCTTAAAATAGATATTCTGAATTTCCTCAAAATCTATGACGTCGGCAGCGACCTTGTTGGCGAATGTTTTCAGGCGCCAATTGAAGCTGCATCAGGCGACATTTGAACATGCCCTCCCCATCTTGTACACATTTGTCCCTCCCCATCTTGTACACATTCGTCTCTCCCCATGCTGTACACATTCGTCCCTCCCCATGTTGTACACATTTGTCCCTCCCCATCTTGTACACATTCGTCTCACCCTCTCCTCCCTGCCCTCTGTTTACTTGCCTCTCTGACGTCACCGACACGGGGAGGAAGTCGAAGCTAGAACCCGTGGCATTGTGATCTACACTAATCACAGGTGTGGAGGGGGGCAGTTCCCAGGTCATGGAGGGGGGGGGGCTGTTATCTCTGCACGTGCATTGATGCAGGAGCACAGTTTGATTTCAAGCCCTGCTCACCCTCCTGCTTGCAGCCTTGACCCGTAAAATGCGCGGTCTATCTGTTGCTAATGAACGACTCATGTGCTAGAACTTGATCAGACATTTCTGACATACCTTCGTAGTGTGGTGTAGTTGGGTTTATCGTAGTGTTGGGTTTATCGTAGTGTGATGTAGTTCTGTTGTAGTTTTACCTTCGTAGTGTGATGTAATTCTGTTGTAGTTTTACCTTCGTAGTGTGATGTAGTTCTGTTGTAGTTTTACCTTCGCAGTGTCGTGTAGTTGTGTTGTAGTTTTACCTTCGTAGTGTGATGTAATTCTGTTGTAGTTTTACCTTCGTAGTGTGATGTAGTTCTGTTGTAGTTTTACCTTCGCAGTGTCGTGTAGTTGTGTTGTAGTTTTACCTTCATATTGTGGTGTAGTTCTGTTGTTATTTTACCTTCGTAATCTGATGTAGTTCTGTTGTAGTTTTACCTTCGCAGCGTGGTGTAATTCTGTTGTAAAGTTTGTCTCACCACCTGAAAGTTTGTCTCACCACCTGAAAGTTTAGTTTGTTTCACCATCTGAAAGTTTGTCTCACCATCTGAAAGTTTGTCTCACCACCTGAAAGTTTGCCTCTCCATCTGAAAGTTTGTCTCACCACCTGAAAGTTTGTCTCACCACCTGAAAGTTTGTCTCACCACCTGAAAGTTTGTCTCACCACCTGAAAGTTTGTCTCACCACCTGAAAGTTTAGTTTGTCTCACCACCTGAAAGTTTGTCTCACCACCTGAAAGTCTGTAGCACTATCTCACCACCTGAAAGTTTGTCTCACCATCTGAAAGTTTGTCTCACCATCTAAAAGTTTAGTTTGTCTCACCACCTGAAAGTTTAGTTTGTCTCACCACCTGAAAGTTTGTCCCACCACCTGAAAGTTTACTTTGTCTCACCACCTGAAAGTTTGTCTCACCACCTGAAAGTTTAGTTTGTCTCACCACCTGAAAGTTTAGTTTGTCTCACCACCTGAAAGTTTAGTTTGTCTCACCACCTGAAAGTTTAGTTTGTCTCACCATCTGAAAGTTTGTCTCACCATCTGAAAGTTTGTCTCACCACCTGAAAGTTTAGTTTGTCTCACCATCTGAAAATTTGTCTCACCAGAGGGGAGTCACCACTAGGAAAGTTTAGGTGTAACTAGAGAAAGATACTGTAATCCGACGCCTGTGAACTAGGACGGTATCAACTGATATTCTCCAGGAAATTCCCGTCAATTCTGCTCCATAGCCCGCTGTACAATGATACACACAAATTTTAATACTATTTATAGCAGTGGTTCTTAACCTGGGTTCGATTGAGCTCCAAGGGTCATTTAGTTTTAGGGGTTCGGCGGAGGTTAAGACACACACCCGACTCAAATGTTTCACGAACGGATTTTGTCAGTGCGGACGTTTGAAGTTTTAAGAAGGTTTCGGTCTATGCGCATATGAAACTGGTGGGGTTTCTTTATTTCTTAAAAAGGTTAAGAACCCCTGATTTATACTGATTACCTTGTTTTCAGACCTTGGGAAACCAGAACCTTCGAGGGAAAAATCTGACTGAGGTATAATGACGGGCAGATATGTGACAGTAGTGGCTACATGTGGGGGTAGCCGGGTCGTGTTGAAATAATGAACGTACCCACACTAGATATGTGACATTAGTGGCTACATGTGGGGGTAGCCGGGTCGTGTTTAAATAATGAACGTACCCACACTAGATATGTGACATTAGTGGCTACATGTGGGGGTAGCCGGGTCGTGTTGAAATAATGAACGTACCCACACTAGATATGTGACATTAGTGGCTACATGTGGGGGTAGCCGGGTCGTGTTTAAATAATGAACGTACCCACACTAGATATGTGACGATAGTGGCTACATGTGGGGGTAGCCGAGTCGTGTTGAAATAATGAATGTACCCACACCAAATATGTGACATTAGTGGCTACATGTGGGGGTAGCCGTATCTTCAGTTTGTGTTGAAATAATGAACGTACCCCCCCCCCCCCCCACCTCCCACCGATACGTGAAGACAGTCTAGAACATTCCAAACACCGTTTTGTTTATGTGATGAGTGAATACCATCTCGACATTTGGGGCGCTGGTTGTGGGGTGGGAGGGGGGTGGTGTAATTAACTAACCGTGTGACGTCAGTCGTGTCGTGATCTCCACCTTAACACTTGACCAATGATGCGAAACGTGACGTCATCACACATATTGGGTCATAAACCCGTGTCGTTTGGAACTGAAGATTTGAACGAAGAACATTTGTTATTTTGTATTTATACATGTCTAACAATAGTTATAAAGCTGCAAGGAAGATACCGGTCGTTCATTATAGGGGAAGGACGCTCTCAACTTTTTCATTCTAATTTGTGTTTAAAATTTTTATATTATATCGTGAATCTTTTCATAATTTTTTATACATTATTTGAATGCGCACTATCCTTAATATTCACATTGCATTTTTCTACCAACTTAAACTTTTGAATTAAAAAAAAAAGAATCGAAAAACTTCGTATTTTAGCCCACAAAAACCGATGAAATAAATGAGGTAAAAAGTTTGAAAGTTCACTTCTTTTTTTACCTCCGGCACTCTGGGAGTTCTTGCCCCTGTGTCACGGTGACATTTAAAATGTCAGATTGCATGACGTCACATCCTTTGATAAAAACTAATAATTGGATGATATACTCGGGAATCGTTTTTTATCTGCTCGACAAGGGGAAGAACTCGGTAACACAGGGGAGACAAGGCTGGCATCAAATAATAACAGTCCGCCGGTCGGGGGGGGGGGGGGGGATAAAATTGTCAGAATCTACATGTGGCAGACATCTAAACAACGTGTAGAGCGTTAATGTCAATTTTGTACGGTAAGCATTGATAGACCGGGCCTGCTTGCCATTCTACTGGTGTCTCAGCGCTACGACAATGTCATGGAGAAAATATACCGGCGGCGTCAAGCTTTACTGCTGGCTGGGGGTGGGGGGGGGGGGGGGTAGAGGGGTGGGTGGAGGGGTACTTCAGACTTTCGTTAAAACTTTTATTTTTCATCTCAGTGGTATATCCAGTCTACATTCAGCTGGAAACTAAACGGAATGGATGAATTGCTACATACCTCACATCCCCCGATATATATATATATATATATATATATATATATATATATATATATATATATATATATATATATATATATATATATATATATATATATATATATACATATATATATAGGCCTATATATATACATACATATATATATATATATATACATATATATATACATATATATATATACATATATATATATATATATATACATATATATATAGGCCTATATATACATATATATATATATATATATACATATATATATACATATATATATACATATATATATATATATATATATATATATATATATATATATATATATATATATATATATATATATATATATATATATATGAATATAAGGTTATGAATATATAAGGTTTTAATGTGCATATGTTGTCAACAATGAGAGACATAGTATCCCTGTAACTACGTATTACGACATCAGGACATACATGTCGCATACCCTTGTAAAGTTGACGTAAAATCCCCCCCCCCCCCCTCCCCCTACATTCGAGCCACCCTCTCCTAGAACCCTGGTTCAGAGATCACAGGCGGCCTGCCGTGAGCAGCAGCATCCTGCGACCTGCTCTAGATTAGCCGACTAATGACCTGGATCACAGGGCTGGGAGAGGGACGGGGATGGCCAGGAAACCGGGTGGAAATTGGAGATGCCAGTTTGGTCTGCGGCACGTGACGACACCTTTGTGACATCAAAGGCCGTGCCGAGTTCAAGGTCACCTGGAAGGAAGACGCTCGTCTTATGTTGTGAAAGATAATGGATGGTGTTGTCTGACGTCAGTGTTAGGGATGAGACACATTGACGTCACCTCCGACAAACTGACGTCACCAGCGATAGATCGACGTCACCACAATTACGTCATCATCGACAGATTGTCCTCACCTCCGTGTCCTCACCTCCGACAGATTGTCCTCACCTCCGTGTCCTCACCTCCGACAGATTGTCCTCACCTCCGACAGATTGTCCTCACCTCCGTGTCCTCACCTCCGTGTCCTCACCTCCGACAGATTGTCCTCACCTCCGTGTCCTCACCTCCGACAGATTGTCCTCACCTCCGACAGATTGTCCTCACCTCCGACAGATTGTCCTCACCTCCGTGTCCTCACCTCCGTGTCCTCACCTCCGACAGATTGTCCTCACCTCCGTGTCCTCACCTCCGTGTCCTCACCTCCGTGTCCTCACCTCCGACAGATTGTCCTCACCTCCGTGTCCTCACCTCCGTGTCCTCACCTCCGACAGATTGTCCTCACCTCCGTGTCCTCACCTCCGTGTCCTCACCTCCGACAGATTGTCCTCACCTCCGACAGATTGTCCTCACCTCCGTGTCCTCACCTCCGTGTCCTCACCTCCGACAGATTGTCCTCACCTCCGTGTCCTCACCTCCGTGTCCTCACCTCCGTGTCCTCACCTCCGACAGATTGTCCTCACCTCCGTGTCCTCACCTCCGTGTCCTCACCTCCGACAGATTGTCCTCACCTCCGTGTCCTCACCTCCGTGTCCTCACCTCCGACAGATTGTCCTCACCTCCGACAGATTGTCCTCACCTCCGACAGATTGTCCTCACCTCCGTGTCCTCACCTCCGACAGATTGTCCTCACCTCCGTGTCCTCACCTCCGTGTCCTCACCTCCGACAGATTGTCCTCACCTCCGTGTCCTCACCTCCGTGTCCTCACCTCCGACAGATTGTCCTCACCTCCGTGTCCTCACCTCCGTGTCCTCACCTCCGACAGATTGTCCTCACCTCCGTGTCCTCACCTCCGTGTCCTCACCTCCGACAGATTGTCCTCACCTCCGTGTCCTCACCTCCGACAGATTGTCCTCACCTCCGACAGATTGTCCTCACCTCCGTGTCCCCACCTCCGACAGATTGTCCTCACCTCCGACAGATTGTCCTCACCTCCGTGTCCTCACCTCCGTGTCCTCACCTCCGACAGATTGTCCTCACCTCCGTGTCCTCACCTCCGTGTCCTCACCTCCGACAGATTGTCCTCACCTCCGACAGATTGTCCTCACCTCCGACAGATTGTCCTCACCTCCGTGTCCTCACCTCCGTGTCCTCACCTCCGACAGATTGTCCTCACCTCCGTGTCCTCACCTCCGTGTCCTCACCTCCGACAGATTGTCCTCACCTCCGTGTCCTCACCTCCGTGTCCTCACCTCCGACAGATTGTCCTCACCTCCGTGTCCTCACCTCCGTGTCCTCACCTCCGACAGATTGTCCTCACCTCCGTGTCCTCACCTCCGACAGATTGTCCTCACCTCCGACAGATTGTCCTCACCTCCGTGTCCCCACCTCCGACAGATTGTCCTCACCTCCGACAGATTGTCCTCACCTCCGACAGATTGTCCTCACCTCCGACAGATTGTCCTCACCTCCGTGTCCTCACCTCCGTGTCCTCACCTCCGACAGATTGTCCTCACCTCCGTGTCCTCACCTCCGACAGATTGTCCTCACCTCCGACAGATTGTCCTCACCTCCGTGTCCCCACCTCCGACAGATTGTCCTCACCTCCGACAGATTGTCCTCACCTCCGACAGATTGTCCTCACCTCCGACAGATTGTCCTCACCTCCGTGTCCTCACCTCCGTGTCCTCACCTCCGACAGATTGTCCTCACCTCCGACAGATTGTCCTCACCTCCGTGTCCCCACCTCCGACAGATTGTCCTCACCTCCGACAGATTGTCCTCACCTCCGTGTCCTCACCTCCGACAGATTGTCCTCACCTCCGTGTCCTCACCTCCGTGTTCTCACCTCCGACAGATTGTCCTCACCTCCGACAGATTGTCCTCACCTCCGACAGATTGTCCTCACCTCCGACAGATTGTCCTCACCTCCGTGTCCTCACCTCCGTGTCCTCACCTCCGTGTCCTCACCTCCGACAGATTGTCCTCACCTCCGTGTCCTCACCTCCATGTCCTCACCTCCGACAGATTGCCCTCACCTCCGTGTCCTCACCTCCGTGTCCTCACCTCCGTGTCCTCACCTCCGACAGATTGTCCTCACCTCCGACAGATTGTCCTCACATCCGTGTCCTCACCTCCGACAGATTGTCCTCACCTCCGACAGATTGTCCTCACCTCCGACGGACCTCCCCCTGTGACATGCCTGAATGACGTGACCTACTTCCCCTAAAGCGAGCACCGCACGCACGTGTTTTTGTCTGACGGCACGAGGCAGGCACGCCCCCCACACCAAACACCGGCGCCCCAGCCAGGGCGCATGAAAGGTGCACATGGGCTGGAGGGCCCCTCCCCGAGAGCCGCCATGCTCGCAAGCTGTCGAGGTCCGTTCATCGGAGCCGGCGCTGCAAGCTGTGTGGCAACATCTTGCAGCCCAGCTAGTCACGTGATCAAATCTTTATCAATCCAAACAAAAGATTTTTTTTTAGTTCCCAGATTAAGAAAACCTTATAAAAAGCGAATACAGATTTGCGATAAGGTATTCGATACTTTTACAGTTACTTGTTTCCTTACTCAGGTTTCGTATATTCTAAAATCGATTATTTCAGTGGTAATCGCGATCTATCCACGCTACGCATTTAAAAATATGAACAGCCGTCTGTTATCTAGGTCAAGGATCGGCAACATTTTGTGCACATAAACAATTAAAATCACAATTCTGATCGATTACGTTGGGAATTTGATTCCATGTCTAATATACTGAGCAGCAGAAAATAAAAACAATGTCTTGACGTTTGGTTATCTATCCGCTGTTCCGCTCTACTGGTTCTCGTCTGCTGATTTCTGGCGGGAAATGGCTGCACGTACAGAGTCGCAGTGTACAACTATTCCAACTTCTCTACAGTACAGACACCCTACGCTTTTCTACTGTTATACATCTCTAACATTTCTACTATACAACATATCCAACATTTTCACTATACAACATCTCCAACATTTCCACTATACAACATCTCTAACTTTTCTACTGTACAACCTCCAACACGTCCTCTATACAACATCTCCAAAATGTCCTATATACATCCCCATCATTTCCTCTATACAACATCCCCAACATTTCCACTATACAACATCCCCACCATTTTCTCTATACAACATCCCCACCATCTCCACTCTACAACATCCCCAACATTTTCTCTATACAACATCTCCAACATTTTCTCTATACAACATCCCCAACATTTTCTCTATACAACATCCCCACCATTTCCTCTATACAACATCCCCACCATCTCCATTCTACAACATCCCCAACATTTTCACTATACAACATCCCCAACATTTTCACTATACAACATCCCCAACATTTTCACTATACAACATCCCCAACATTTTCTCTATACAACATCCCCAACATTTTCACTATACAACATCCCCAACATTTTCACTATACAACATCCCCAACATTTCCTCTATACAACATCCCCAACATTTCCTCTATACAACATCCCCAACATTTTCACTATACAACATCCCCAACATTTTCACTATACAACATCCCCAACATTTCCTCTATACAACATCCCCAACATTTCCTCTATACAACATCCCCAACATTTTCACTATACAACATCCCCAACATTTTCACTATACAACATCCCCAACATTTCCTCTATACAACATCCCCAACATTTCCACTATACAACATCTCAGACATTTCCTCTATACAACATCCCCAACATTTCCTCTATACAACATCCCCAACATTTTCACTATACAACATCCCCAACATTTCCTCTATACAATATCCCCACCATTTCCTATATACAACATCTCCAACATTTCCACTATACAACATCTTCAACATTTCCTCTATACAACATCCCCAACATTTCCTCTATACAACATCTCCAACATTCCTCTATACAACATCTCCACCAACGAACGTCTGGACGGCTGCCAGTGACAGTGCAGGCCAGTGGTCTGTTGTCGGGGTGAGCGCTGTGATGAAATTCTGTGCTCACACGGCACGCGGGAGCCGACCAATCAGGAGCCAGTCTTTGCCCACGTGCCCGCCTCCTTAAGTGACAAACGCTGGCGCAAACGACGACAGCCAACCGTCAACATCTGCGGCAGCATGCGGCGACATGCGGCGACATGCAACTTGTGGGGCTCACTAACTGACCTGCTCCGGGGGGACGGCATGCACGTGAGAGAGGGTGAGCAGATTTCCGCTAGTCGCATTCTTCCAAAGTTTTAAAGTGCACGGGCGCGTTGTTCTAGGGGAGTCCAGTGTTCAGAGTTCATGCCTGTGTTCAAAGTTTATGCATGTGTTCAAAGTTCTTGCCTGTGTTTAAAGTTCATGCCTGTGTTCAAACTGTGTTTACTTGACTTCGTTCAACAAAGGTAACTCGCTTATGCTATAGCTCGTTAAACACATCATTTTTAAAGAAAGCTATATATAGCTCATTGATTGTTGTTTGTTGAGGCATCAACTTTTTAATTCTAGACCGTTCTGATCTACCTGCTATATATTTAAAACACATGTTTATCCCAGTGGGCCTCTCGATATCACTGTGTAAATGATATTAAGATTTAATTGCTTAAAAAACTGGTAGGTTTTTTTATTATTGTTACGGAATTGCCTTAGTTAAGTGGGCGGTCTGAATGTAATTCCCTTCATCAAACATAGGGTGTGCCTCAAAATTCTGGCGTGTTTGGGCAAAAGTTCTGATCGTTAAATATCTGTATCGTATGCCCACTTTATGTTCTTTTAATACTGCTTTAATATTGGGTGGGTGTGGGGGGGGGGGGGATGTCGCTGTTTACATACTATGCTGTGCCTGTACTGCTATATTTACACCATTCTGTGGTGTGTAAACTGCTATATTTACACCATTCTGTGGTGTGTAAACTGCTATATTTAAACCATACTGTGGTGTGAAAACTGCTATATTTAAACCATTCTGTGGTGTGAAAACTTCTATATTTACACCATTCTGTGGTGTGTAAACTGCTATATTTAAACCATACTGTGGTGTTACCGTAGTTCTAGTGTGTACTATATACAAGTGTGTACATACTTAGGATTCCAGCTCTAGTGTTTACTATACACAAGTGTGTACTATACACAAGTGTTTACTATACACAAGTGTGTACTATACACAAGTGTGTACATATGTATGATTCCGGACTGTGTACATGGTGCTTGTACATCACGCTGCTGATAATGAGCTACATCTTTTAACTGCTACATCTTCTGTCAGACATCATTTACCGCATGCTGTTGTCACACGCCTTCTGTCATATGTCACATGTCATGTGTCACATATCATATATCACACGTCTTCCTTCACATATCCTATGTCACGTGTTCTTTTTTCACATGTCGCCCTTCGTATGTCGTATGTCTCATGCCTTCTGTCACACGTCACATGTTGTATGTTAAAGTCTGACGCAAAGTTTATATGTAAGTTCTGACGCAAAGTTTATATGGCAGTTATGACGCAAAGTTTATATGACAGTTCTGACGCAATGTTTATATGATAGTTCTGCATGTGTATTTAACTTAATGAATAAATTAATTTCCTCTAGTTTAATGACCACTTTTTAAAAGTTAAATGTACATGATTGTTTTCTATTAATTATTAATTGCCACCGCCTTAATTAATCAATGTTATCAACTTAATTCTGAAATTCAACTTTTTACCTAACTAAATTACTTGACTGTAATGAAGTCTCTCTAAAACACCTGAACTACAGCGATCTGTTTGAGATGTGTGTTTGGCTACTTTCGTCTAATGGTTCGACTACATTTTATCCCGTGAACTTGTGCTTGACAGCGTCCAATGGGTCTTCACATGTGTACCCTAGAACTAGACATTCCACTAATCTCTATCCAGTAGTTATTTTAACTGCCAAAAAAAAAATTCGGCAAATGATATTACAGCCCCCCCCCCCCCATGGAGCAGGTGTATTTCCACTAATTGGATCCGCTCAAGTCTCTATGTACACCCCGGTCATGCTTCAAATAGCGTGGTATGCATTCAGGTCTGGTCATGCGCACTGATAGGCTGAACTTGTTGACACACTAGGAAAGCGAAACTGGGAGTCCCGCTAGAGGGCGGTTATACAAGACGGCAAGCCTGTTATAGAAGACAGCAGCCTGTTATAGGAGACAGCAGTCTGTTATAGAAGACAGCAGTCTGTTATAGAAGACAGCAGTCTGTTATAGAAGACAGCAGTTTGTTATAGAAGACAGCAGCCTGTTGTAGAAGACAGCAAGCCAGCTACAAGCACTATCCTTGATGTTGAATCCTTACATAATTGTTGAACCAAAACCAGGCGATGGACCCAAATAGAATAAAGGAACACGATACTTGTCTACGTAACATTAAATAATACAAAATTATATATATATATATATATATATATATATATATATATATATATATATATATATATATATAGCCTATGTGTGTGTTATATTAAATTGTGTACACTCTAAATATTGTACGGAATGCAGCTAGGTAATGAACTCTAAATTTAAATTTAGGAAGTTCATTCTGCAAGGGGTTATTTTGTTTAAATTTCGCTTTACCCAAAATAAAATAACTACACACACATTTTCATGATGACTTCAAGCGGCTGTTTTTGTTCTAGATCAGTTATAAAAGGCTTCTCCAAGATGGAAAAATCAATGTCTCTTTCAGACTTTTTCTCTGGGGGAATTTTCGGGTTTCGGGGGGGGGGTAGACGAAGAGGTGCCTGAAAGAAACGCTGTGTGAAATAATAGGTGTAATGTTTTGGGTGAAATACTTAGCGTGAAGCATGTTGAGTAAAATATATTGTATACTGTCAGAGTGAAAATATGTTTGCTTGTCTATGGATAAATATTTGAGGTATTGCCGCGGCTATACAAACATATCTGAATACATTTGAAATTAAATCCTATGACCCGCTATACATTTGATTTATATTTAGAATCTTCCCCGCCCCCATTCTATCGCCGCCCATTTGCGTGTGACATTTGACAGCCAGCTACCGAATGTAAACGTGGCATACAAACACAATGTAGCATACACATACCCTGCAACATACAAAAACACTCTGTAGCATACACATACCCTGCAACATACAAAAACACTCTGTAGCATACACATACCCTGCAACATACAAAAACACTCTGTAGCATACACATACATCATAGCTTA